AAAAAAAAAACAAAAAAAAAAACAAGAAAACAAATCAAGAGTTTGCACAAGAATGATTTTAAAATGAGATCTCACCTAAATCAGTTGCAAAGGAATCTGTCATTGGGAGAAGACGTCAATTTACAAATGGATCTAGTGACATGAAGTTTAAGTAGCAATATTTAATCCTTTTTTTATTTATATTTGATTTAAACTTATTTTCTTTTAAATTTAAACTTCAAGTCAAAAATTTATTTAAATCTAAGAAAATTTCCTATTTAGTTCAAATTTTTTTATTTAATCTTGTTTTCCATTTAAATTTTAACTTTTTAAAATATATTTCAATAATATCTTAATTTTTTGTAATATTTCTTTGAATTGCTTATCAAGTTTAATCTAATTCTTTTATTCATTTAAATTTAACTTTCAAAATCGTATGTAGACTTATGAATTTTTTACTTTATTCAAACTACAAAATTCTATTTAATCTTCCTGGGCAAGCTCAACCACCGTCACGTGAAGTACTTGAAAAATAACCAACCTTAAAGACCAAATTCCTAAACTTCCTGTTAAGGACTCTAAGCAAGGTCAAGGACAAACCCAAACATGATTCAGAACAATCCTAATTTTAGTAGTTCCCGGAACTTCTAAGAATAGGGAAGGCCACGCACTTCTAATTTTGGTTCATAACAATACTATTTCAGGTAGCATATAAAGTTCATTAGATTAATGTGATCGACAAGGAGGCACATGTCTGAAAATAACTGCTAGGCTTTGACAAGGCCTGTACTTTCAGTTGACTGTTGAACTAGAAATAAACAATTCATGAAATTACTTATTTGCTCTTGAACACTGCCTGAAAGCCCAAGCTCGTAGACAGAGCCTTCTTAAAAATATGTCACTAATGTAAGACCAGGCAAAATAACAGGATTTGTTAGGATAATAAGTGCACAAGTACAGCTCAATTGGAAAAATTCTGAGTTGCCATTGTTGTCCGCACTCTGATGCACCACTCCTGAATCATAGACTCCATAGCGAGCAAGGCTATTGACAAGTTTATTTGCAATTTGCTTCCTGCATCACGGATAGTGCTGGGATCGTGTGAGTCAAACCCTTACACCCTAACATCAGCATCCATATTCTCCATACTGTTCTATATACATTTCCTTTGGTATTGACAAGAATTCTTTAAACAATTAAAGCTTCTTAGTTTGGGGATCATTTCCTTTATTCTCATGCTCTTAATGAATGGTGAAGCAGTATTGCTGTAACAAGAAATAAGATGCTAATCACTCTTGGGGTTTAAAGGATAAAAAAGAATATGATTGGAGCACAATGCTGACAGGAAGAACATATTTTCCTGTCTTTTCAAGAGCTTGGGACAGACAATACCTTCAGGTGCAATATCATTTCCCTTCACCTAGCTGTGATTTTTGGGCCACAATATGATTAAATTTTCCCTTTTCAGTTCTACTGCCACAGATTACTTCATAGTTCTTAATTAAGTATGTCTTAAATGTCAACATGCTCATCATGGGGTTATCACATGCTACCACAGGCCACTGTGAGTTACATCATGATTGAGTTTAGTCCTGTGCACCTGGGTAAGAGAACATATGACCGTGAGAGCTAGGATACTCAATTTTGAGCTTGGTTGTTGAACAAAGAGTACAAAAAAAGAAAGAAATGTGTTTCCCTGTGGGAAAGACATATTTCTTCATGACATTAATTGTGAGAAATGTCAAAACCCACACTAAAAAATTCATGTAAACAACAAAATTGAAAACTGTTACATCATATTGGAAAAACAACGAGATTGCCAGCAAATAAAGTCAAACAAATTTGTTCCGAACCTTTGATTCCACAACCCTGCAAGGAACTCAAGAGGGTACAACACTGGTGGTAATTTGGTTTGGAATTGCCCGTATGAGTTTTAATGAATTTCATTTCATATTTAAATTCATCTCATATCCACTGGAGTTCACTATAATCAAGAAAGTCCCAAAAGTCTTGGAAAAATAATAAAAGTACTAATAACTATAAAAACTGAGCAAGTGACTGCGACAATTTTTCCTTTCAAATATATATTAAGTGATGAGAATGAAGGAAAATATCAATCAGGGGATTGTTGGTTGATCCAATACCAAATTCTCCAAACTAACATAATAAGATTTGAAAAAGAGAGAGTTTGCAGAGTCATAAAAATGGAAAAATAAGTCTTAGAATAACTTCTTACAGATTTATTGAATAAATACCTTATGATTGGAACTAGTTTTCTTTTTGTACTCCTATTAACTTATGTAATGCAAAATATTTAAAAATAAACCCTGAAAAAGTCAAAGTTATAATATTTTAAAGATGCAGTAATATTGCAGTTACCATGGTAATGCAAATCTTCATTCAATGAAATAAATCATAATTTGACAATTTGAAAATTTCATGTAATTCTCCCAGCCTAAAAAGACAACTGAAAGTCATTCCAAAAACATATTTCCCCAAAGATGATGCAGCAATTATTCAATATTAAATCATTCTAATGGCCAAAATTACTCTATTGATTTCCAAATTAATCTTTAAACTTCCTATTAAGAGTTTCTAAAAAGATATATGTAAAAGGTCACCTAAAAAACAGCTATCTTTCTTAGTATCCTCCTTGATCTCCAAACAAAAGTCTTATTAGATCATTTTTAGGGTTGACCTTCCCTAAGACATGTGGAACTTTGGACTCAAGAATTCTCCACAAGACATCAGCTGCCAGAGCTTCTGCTTTCAAGTTTGGGTGAAAACCATCCACAGGCTCAATTAACTCATAAACTGGGTGGCCTTTTGCTTTCCACTCCTGTTGCAGAAAAAAAAGAAAGAAAGCTTAAAAATATAATCATAATTTTATAAGATCACATTAATATAAAGTGTGGAGAAAACAGTAAGAGAGAATTAGAGTCACATTGGGATCTAGCAACATGCACTTTTAACTGCTGGAGTTTCGTCTTTCTATATCAAACAGAATTGCACAAAACTTTGCAGAGCCTGAGCCATTTTGCCAAGGTGGCTTTACATGTAGTCATAGAATTTGACTATGAATATGTTGAATTTGTACACAGCTGTTTCCAGAAAAATTGTCAGAAAAAAAGTGTAAAAGTGCGCATGATAACCCAGAGAGGTATTGGGAATAGTTTTCAGTTCCTTGACCTGAGGATTTCAGGGAAATCTGAGAAAACATTACTATATGGACAAGGCATAGCAGGTTTGATGAATTATTATTTCAATCATTAAAAATCATGGATTAACCAGTACCCACTTTAACTTTAAAGATTGTCATTAACACTTTTAACATTTTTTCCAACAAACTCTCTTGAAACAGTTGTATAAACATTGGCACACATTTTTCATTCAGTGGATCATGCTAACATACCTTAATGACTTCTTCCAAGGGACAGTCAAAGTAGAACACATCAAAATTTTCATACTTCGAGGTTTCAGCCACATGTTTCAACACTGCACTCAACTGGGCAGCTCTTTCACTTGTTTTATTCCTGATGGTCTCATTGGAATTCAAATAACCAAAGCAGGGAGACACTTGTAGACAGTTCAAGAAGTCATAAAGTTGTTCATATGTCACATCATGCCTTAGACTTCCTATTGGGTGTATACGGTTATGGAGACTGTCATAAAGGATTCGTCCATCCACCAAACCAATCAGAATTACATGACTCCCATTTGGCAAACGTTTATCAAGACCATTCAGAGTTTCCAGGACATTTTTATGCATCTGCTCAGGAGTAGTAATGTTATTTAGACTAGGGACAGCTTGACAAACATCATTGCCTATGAGTGAGTAAAACACCAAGGCAGGCTGGTCAAGATTGGGGTCTCTAGCCATGCTTCTGATAAGTTTGGAGTTAGCTTCAAAAGACTGTGCTCCATTCTTGGCCAGATTTTGATAATCCCGATGATTGCAATGATTCCTCTCCCATAGCTTCAGATAAATTGAATCACTATGACCTCTTTCCATGGGCCACCTGCAGTATTCATTGCAAATCAAGTATAAATTTTCTGTAAAGCTAAGAACACCTAATACCAGAATGTAATTGTGTTCTGAGAGAGAAAAAAGCTAAACAGAAATGTGAACACTACACTACAAATAGGAACTAGTTTTTGGTCTTGGAATTTGTCCTAATTTGGCTTGTGACTTACATTTTTGGTTTTTGATCAATAAAGATCATGGGGCTATCAGTATCAAATCAAAGTGTTCACAGTTTTCAAGGCTTACATTATTGCAAAATTATTGAAAGAGCACAAAAGTGCAGAGTTAGAAATCAAATACCACTCTAGATGCTTACTACTTTTAACAAATTTATTTCAGGCAGACCAGAACAAAATAATCCCTGCAGCAACAACACCTTCTCTGCACTATGGACATTATAGGGAGAAGTTCCATGTCAATCACCTCTAGGAGTGAAAGGGTTAATTTCTAGTACATAGAGTATAAAGCCTTACTGTAAACTTTTTACTAAGTCACATGATTTCTTATCTAACTTTTAATTTTGGTGGTTTAACTGACTGATGTAAACCAAAATATAATGATATATACATGTATTCTTGAGATATGGTTGAGTAAGTCTTAATATGACATTCAAATATCGTATTGGGATTGATTGACTTAACCATCAAACACTATTAGGCAGTCGTTCTAAAGTTGATGAATATCAATGGAAATCAATAAACTTCTGGTTTTTGTTGGTGTTTGTGGGATTCAGAGTGACTGCTCAATTAGCAGTGTCAAAGATATATATTGTTTTATTATTTAAAAGAAGTTGTACATGTTTATATTTTTGGATAAAATTTATATATATCATTATTTATTAATTTTATTTGTTATATTAATTTTGTTGTAACACGACCCCACAAGACTCTGGCTTTAAATATTCATCGTGTTTAAATAAAGTTATTATTATCATCATTATTATTCTGTCATTTAAATTAATTTACCTTGATGACCTTAGGTAGCCTGTATATAATGACAACTGAGGCCAGTCCATTTCATTCTCAACAATAAAGGCAAGGTTTTCAAAAGCTTTGTCAGAAAGCAGGAGTGCTGTAAGCCATGCTGGGGGAATGTGAAAGTGGGCTGCCACTGAATCACCAAGAACAATTATGCCAAGATATCCTGCATCTGGAAAAGAAACCAGTGCATATACATCTCATGGGACTTTCTAGAGTCAGACTAGCTTATTATTATGTACATCTACAGTATCTAATAATCTACATCATGTTTCTTTCTGCCAGACACTTTTTTTTTGGCAGCTTTAAAACATTTTCCCTTTTTCCCCCTTCAAGGCTGATCATAGTTGATAAACTAAAGTCTGAAAAGAATAGCTGAAGTTGACAACATCTTACTAACATAAAACCAGTCAAACTCTGAGTGTAAGAGCATTTAGGAAAAGTATTTCATGCTCGCACTTCTCAGACTGAGTCCACAAGGAGTTTTGTATGAGCTGACAAAACTACTAATTCTGAAACTTGCAAAGCATGACTTAAGACCTTGACAGTGTAAAGAGTGCAGTAATTGAAAGAATAACTCCTAATCGAGTAGGAACATGAAAAAGTAGTAAATAATCACCTCATAAAAATTAACAAACTGACAAAATTCCACAGCGCAAGTCGCCATAAGAAACGTAAAGAAGTGTACCTTTACATAACAATTCTTCAAAGGGCTCCCCAAAAACAGGATCCCTGCCATGAATTCCATTGCAGTTCGAGTCGAAAACCACATCCCCTTTTCTTGGCTTGGCACCAGGATGGTTAAGATGATTTATATCATCGCAATCTTTGCCCCTCCAAGACGACCCTCTCCATGCCTCCGTCAGGGCACTATAAGTATCGTTATCCAAATCAACCAGAGGAAAATCATTGGTGAAAACTTTGCGGAACAATTTACAAACTTCTCTAACACCCTCAAGAGTACAAGGATCGAAATTCGGCCCTTTAAAGTCATCAGGATTGGCTCTTTCGAAGGATAGTTTCGCTCCGATCTCCTTTCTCGCTCGAGTGATCCTCTCATGGAAGTCTTTTCTCGGTGGAAAGGCGTGACAATACGGCTGACCTTTTTCCTGGTAGCACAGATCAACTGCATGGCAAATAACGTCAGCAGAAACCTCGGCTGTTATAAATTTTATGATTTTGGGAATGTAGTACTCCCCGAGCGAAAGACAGGCATTTCTGTAAAGTTCAGGTAAGACATTACACAATCGCGCGTACGAATCCACAAATGTTTCGTTGTGTACAATACTCAGCTGTTCTGTAAGAGCAACGACAGCGGTGCAAGTAAGACAGCCGATTCCACCGCTGACTCCTTTCGGTAATCCGTACGCAGCTGGAGCAGGAAAAAGGATAACGAACGCAGTGATCACTGGAACAATCGTCAAGAAAGAAACAGCCATCGCGTAAGGTAAAGAGAAAATACCGAGCTGCTGTTCCTTCTGAGGCAATGCTAGTTCGTCATAGTAAGAAAATAGCACAGCTCTGCCTATGCAGGCAAAGTTTAAGCTTGAGGATGTCCGGAAACTGAAAGGCGTTCTTGTTCTTAGCTATTCGTCATCCACAATATCACGTGAGGCTTGGGGACAAATACAGAAGAGTGGGCTGGGCAGGGGCTGGGTAGGCTCGATGACCAGCCGCTGTTCGGGAATATGAGTCCGCGCTCCGACCGGACACGAGAGAGCGGCAGAAGCTTAGAGGCATACATGGCTGATATTTAGCGCGAATATGCGCAAAAAAAAAGGAGTTAGAAAGTTAAATTAAAGTCGAGCTCAATTACATGCTTGTTTGAGAAGTGATAAATCATCATCTTAAGAAAGATGATTCGCTTGATTCCTCCTACACAGCTTGTAGTCTGCTGTTGCATATTGTCTCTAGCTTAGGAAAGAAGGCATTGTTTCTCTACAAGGGAGCCAATAAGTACCAAAAAGCTGATTTTTGTATATATTTGCCAGGTTCGATTTTTAGCCATTTCTCTTCGGGAGAGGAGTGCGGGCTTATTCCTCGTACAGTGGAATCGAGCCTGTTGCCTCTTTGCCTGTCTCTTTTGCCCGACACATTCAAGGCTACATCTAATTTTCATTTCGCGCCGCTACCACGCCCAGTTAAGTTGGCACTCCTATTGTGTAACGCATGAAACAGACTTTGCGACGCAAAAACTATCATTTTACTGTAGTTTGCGAGGCTACATATCTAAATTATACGTAAAAATGTAAGCGTGATAATTCATCATTATTCGTTTAGGTTTGAGTTTTTTCAAGAAGATTCTCAATCTTCATCAATAATGTCTGTTAAAAGAGGACGTATCGGTACATAACAAACTTTATTAACGTCCTTTGTAGCAAGTCAGCGGTTGTCCCCCGGCAAACGCTACTAACAAGCAACTACTATCAAATAATGACAAGATTGAATTATTGACTATATAATCATAACGGCACATGAACACATTAGTTGCAAATCAACAGATCTAGCATTTTGTCGTGCCGTAAGAGAAATGTAAGTGAAAATTAACTTCATACTGGGGTGGGGCAGGGTAGTTACGTTATCCGAAAGTGTGCTGCATGCTTCATCCCTAAGCCCCTATGCCTATCCCCCCTTCCCTACCCCCAACAACAACGTAGGGACGAGAAACATATGGGTGTTATACTGGCGTAATCATGACGAAATTATTACTTGGTTGATCATCGACAATCAAGGAATGACGCGTACTTTTACTCGAGAACCGCCTTTTTTTCGGATGGGAAAATCCTGCTGTTTTGCGGAAAATTGAATTCCTCTCCGGATGCGGGCCAAAACAATTGAAAATATTCTTCAGCCCGCAACGATAATTTTCACTGAAAATAAAGCAAATACAAGGATTTACAGCACAGTTTGCTTGACCCATAAATGATGCAATAAAATGATATTGCAACATGTTACACGAGGATGATTTAGTTATATCCCATACAAGGAGAGAGAGGACGTTGTAGATACTAAGTGGTATCCAACACACTGCAAAGGCAATTACAATAGCAGCGGCCAGCTTGAGTACGTTTCGCTGTCTCTTAATGTACTGTTTCTTGGCCTTGATTGAATGTTCTCCTGGAGGCCTCTGAGACTTGAGCTTGACGAGTATGATCGAATACAGTATGATCATCAGGGCAAGGGGTATATAAAGGAATACAGCCAAAACAGCTAAGAAAAAGAATAAGGGATTTGAAGATTCCCCAAACGTGTCATTCCATTTTAGGGTACACATCAATTTCCCAGGGATTTCACTGACAAGTTTAACGGCGAACAAATACGGAGAAAAAATTGTAATTGCCACGATCCAACTGGCAAACACACTGAACAGGCATAGCTTGGGAGAGATGAGTGGAGAGCGGAGAGGAATGACCACTGCTCTAAATCGATCCACAGTGATAAGAATTAAGCTTTGAACGGACACGGCAGTTGAAACATCGTGGATTAAGGGGACCAGTTTGCACATGGCCTGGCCAAACGTTCCACCAATAAGCCAGGAGTCAGTATAAAACTCTGTCACAATAACTGGAAATGCGAAAACTGGGAGCAAAATGTCGGAGATTGCCATGTTCACGATCAAAAAGTTGATTGTTTTCCTCATGGCTTTCGCCTTGTAAACAATAATCACAATGAAAGCATTTCCAGACAGCGAAACAAAAAAAATCAAGCTATAAGCTAATGTTTTACCAATGTTTTCAGCTGATAGGCCGGTTTTAGTAGAGCAACCTGGGGACTGCATCTCTGTGTCATTACTTTCAGAAGCATTTGAGTATGGAGACATTTTCGAAATCCTTAACTGGCTCAAGGGATATTTATCTCACAAAATTGTTGTTTTTCTGCTCTCTTTGTGGGCAAAAGGCTCTCTCTTGGTTGAGTGCTGCAGAGAAGTGTCTCTTAATGAAATATTGAATAATCTAATGACAATAACACCCCGCAGCCATTGGTTGAGTTGGTAAATTACTTGTGCTCAAGCAGGGTCAAAGCAAACATAATTTAGCGACTTCACTAACTGTAGTTTGTGCACCTGCTATTTTTTTGGCATTTTTCTCAAGTTCCAAGGCACCTGATTAAATTCTGTAACCGCTTATTACTATCCGTCAATCATTTAAAATACCGTTTCAAACACAGCCTGAGACACCGTTTGAAGAAGGTTTAAAGATAGCAGACCGCTTATTACTAAACCATTAACCTTCATTTCCTAAGAGTGATTCTAAGACTTTTTCATTTCCTCTCGGGGAGCAGCTTTCCTTTGCAATTTCTAAATGAACACCGGTAAACACAATCACCTGGTGCCATTTAATCAACTTACACTAATTCAAGATAAAAGCCATTCTCCGTTAAAATATAATTCGCTTCAGAGGTTAGGTTTGTCGTGAAACTCTGCAAGCACGTGGTAACCAGTTTCCTCACGATTTACTTGCCAGTGTTTTCAGTTTACGCCAAGTTCATCAACAAGAGAGTAAAAATTGATCATTGTAGTTTTGGTACCGGCGATGAGCCAGGGCTGTTTACAATTCTCATTCTTGCAATTATATAATTAGATTGCACCTTTCCAAGTGTAAATTAATATTTCTAATTAAATCAACCTTGGGCCGGACTGCAGTTATCAATCTAATCACCAAATATCTCCAAGTGACTAGGAATCAACCAATCAGATGAAACCACAAGACGCGAATTTCTTTTGGTAGACCGTGGTGATTATTTTGCAGTCAGTTTTGAGACACATCGATGAGAAGGCGCTTTAACCAACTACATAACCAGATTTTTCAGTGGAGTATCTAATTCGTGAAAAATTCCGGCCACACTGACTCGTTCCGCGTGATTAGCGATGGGAAAACTGGGAGAAACCAGAGTTATGAGCAATTCAGCATTCGGGCACAACATGCGAATACTGGCACATACTTAATACAAAAATTCAATGCCATAACCTACTACTGGTATGCCTTAATAAAGATCGCAAACACAGGCAGGGAGTGCACAGCTCGCTTACGCACAATATGCTAACAACACATCAATCAGTCCATTGAATATTTCGCAAGGATGAACCATACTTGGGGAATTGTCATCAAAATAAATGGCTCAGAGGATATGACGAAGTGTACACTTGTTTAATAAGGAATTTAATTACAATTTGCTTCTGCCACCGCAGTCAAAGTTTTCCCCGCTGATCATCATGGCTAAGCAGGCTCGGTCGGCTCAGAAAGATCCTTGAGTATATAGGAAGCGAGGGGAAGAGAAAAAGATCGTCTGTGCTGCCAGCTGCTGAATTCGACGACTTAGGTGCATAAGCGTCTATACACATTCGGGCTCGTCTCTTTCGAGGGGATAGAGGTTTGGGAAAGGAAAAGGATGGGGCGTTAAAATCAATGTAATAAAAGGGAGAGGGATAATGTCTTTTGAACGAGAGTGCCATGGGTGATGCAAGGTTTAAATAAACATAAAAACTAATTATCAGTCGGGATCCCAGCATGGTAAGTCAAAGTTCCGTGATACCAAACAGATTGGTTTTAGAAGCTTCCCACGTGACATTCTGTAAACTGAATTGGCTGTTCCTGCTGCTGACACTGGATTGGCTTCCAACCCGGCTACTACGCAAGCTCCTCCTCTGTAGATATTTTAAGTAAATCCGTAGCATCTTTCATAAGATTGATACTCCTTAATAAAAGAGAAAAGTCCACAAGGAAAAAAAAAGGCGATGACAATCAATTCTTACATTCAAAACTGAAATTTTTTTTAATCCCGTTTGGAAAGTGTAAACATGAGTCAGTTCTATTCAAGGCATTTGCACAGAGATGTTAATATTAAAAATAAGAAACAAAAAATTTTTCACCCTATGAATGTCTTCGAAGAATGGCCGCTGCGTTGAGAAATTTCTTGGAATACTAAATCCATTGAACATTCTAAAATTCGCTTTTATTGTAGCAAAAAAAAAAATCCATTGCGTAATATTCCAATTAATTCATGATTGAACCTAAAAAAAAATGCTCTCTGTAAAATACTATGCGTATAACTGAAGCAGCACGCTCAGATAATTCGAATTCATTTAAAAGGAATTTCACTGAGTACTTCCAAAGCGTTTCCGAACCTGGTCAACTTAAATAACTGACGCTGATAAAAATTCAATGAAGGACTATGTCCTCGCAAAATCTTGCATTCCTTGCAGATAAAAATTTCATCAATTTGCTGTACGTCCGAGATACTTCTGTATGCGAGAAACATTCAGATTAAGAAATTTGAACGCATAAACTAATCCTCGATTATTAATAAACTATGCAAATGTAAAACAAGCTATTGTCTAGTCCGTCTGGCCACCTGAGAAAACTGACTAAACAAAGCCTTAATAAAATGACTCGTCTCAGATTTAACTCGCATTTGGCGAACTTTTGGCGACCAGTGATTTTCTAAGAAAGTCATAAAATGATACGTACAAAAGACAGCTGATGTTTTCACATCTGTTGACAATTTAATACATATTGCCGACTTTGATTGTTCAAGGCCATTCCTTTGATTGTATTCTTACAAATGAAGCCTTCATCACCAATTAACGTGAAGCGCTTACGCGATCTTAATTGCAAATCCCCTGTTGGCCCCATAATTCCAAACCTACGAAACTCTCTAGGGTCACCTGAACTTCCCTATTGGTTCCTTACCTATTAACTCCCAAGATCTGATTGGTAACTCGCCCCTCTAGTGACCATTCATTTCCTTACAAATCAGTGGAGAGAATTTGGTGTTTTGTCAGGGTAACAACCCCCAGCTGATCAGTTCGTCTATTCTCTCCACTTATTCACTGGATAATGCATTAAGGAGTTAATACTGAACCTTTCCTACCTTAATTGTGTACACGGACATGGAACTCGATTGAATTAAGAACCATCGATGTTATCTACTGAATAATGAGCACGTGACGAGTCTCATTCACAGAAGCAGAATAAAATATCGCCTGTCCCTGTTAAGCTAGCTTAAACTAAAGTTAAAGTAACCTGGTGTTCGTTCGAGTGATGTTTCCAAACAGGTGTTGGGCACGGTGGTGGCCCGCTTGAACGACAGAAACAGGATAGCCACGCTTATCGAAAAACTGGCACATTGCCTCTGATTTTTCGGAAAAATCAGAGTCGTCACTACGTATACGACGAAGTCTGAGAAACTGTGAAAAAGGTATGGAGTTCTTGACGTGTGATGGATGTGAAGATGAATACAACAAGTAACTATGTGAATCTGTAGGTTTGTAGTAAGCACTAGTGCATAAACCGTTGCCTTCAATTGAAATTTTGATGTCTAGAAAAGCCAAAGAAGTGTCGGAAATTTCCTAGGTATATTTAAGAGCCGGATGAAAGAAATTGACGGCGGTTATAAATTGAGTGAGCTCCTCTTTGGTAGAGGAGGTGGCACCAATGCAATCGTCAATGTAACGGCCGTAGAGATCAGGTTTTGGGCCGTGGTATTGACTAAAAAATTGATGTTCGATAAAACCATTTTAGTACCCATGGCCACGCCATTAGTTTGTTTGTAGTAGTTACCACCGAATGAAATGCAATTGAGTGTGAGTACTAGTTTGGCCAGACGCAGTAGTGTTTCAGAGCTAGGTTCCTTCACAGTGCGATGATCGAAAAATGTTTGAGGGCCCGGAGACCTTCGTCATTGGGAATGACAGTATAAAGAGATGTTATATCCATAGTGAAAATAAGTTTGTTTTGGCCGAGGAAACTAAAGTAACGAAAAATTTTCAAATGCGTGTTGGCTGTCCTTAATATAAGACGGTAAAGTTTTGACGATAGGTGCCATTATTTTGTTTAAATAGCTGGAAATAAGTTCGGTTGGACAACTGCAAGCAGAAACGATGGGTCGACCTGGGTTGTTAGGTTTACGGATTTTAGGTAAAAAGTAAATACACGAAGTTCTAGGAGAGGTAATGATGAGATTTTTAGCATTGGCCGGCATTTCTTGTTTACCTATAAGATCGTCAATCGTATTTTTGGCAATGTTTTGGTTAATTAAAGTGGGATCTTTGTCGACTTTGGCGTAAAAGGAGGTGTCAGAAAGTTGCCACAAAGCTTCTTTTTGGTAGAGGTCGGCCCGCCAAACACCAACTGCGCCGCCTTTGTCGGCCGCTTTAATGACTATGTCTTTGCGTTTTTTTAGACTTTTTAGTGCCGACCACTCTTCCGAAGAAAGATTGGAAAATTTGGTGTTACGATTGAATTTAAGTTTGTTGATATCGTGGCGACATTTCTTGATGAAAAAATCTAAAGATGAGAACTGGCCCTCTGGGGGAGTCCATTTAGACTTTCGAATCTGAAGTGTTTCGAAAGTATCTTTGTCCGAGATGTTAGAATCATCCCCTTTGTCATGAAAAAAAGCTTTCAATTGAACGCGGCGAAGGAATTTTTCAACGTCTTGCTTAATTTGTCAGTTTTTGTGGAAATGGGAACAAAAGTTTGCGGCCTTTCCTTACATCTAGGCAGTTCGGAAAGCCGTAAAACACAAGAACAAAAATTTACCTTCCAAATTGGCACCCTTAAAGAAGCGTCCAAAACAATAAAACATCCCCTCGTCAAATTAAATTGTATCACACTTGTCGACGACATGGGCGAAACTGAAAGGAGCTCTGTCCTGTTCAGGAAGTAGCAAAAGTTCAAAAGCTGAAAGGTTTCGATTTGTATTCTATGACGAGTTTCTGGAGTACAAGCGGCAAGCTTGTTTACACTGATTTTCCCCAGCTAAAACACGTAACGCAAACCGAATGAATCTATCGTGCAGATTTATGAAATTAATAATATG